TTCAATAATGTTGAAACTATTTATAAATGAGAGAGAAAAAAAAACAAAAAAAAACGAGAAAAACATGGACATTTGGGGTCTCGATCTCAAGTACAGTAGGACATTTAGAAATTACAAGCCCGTAGTTTACACTTTAATTGCACTATAACTGTCAGTGTAACTTATTCACAGAAACAATTTAAATCAATCCCATCTTACTGTTATGTCTAGAAATTTACCCAAAATTTATGGAAGATTAATATATTGTGTGCATTGACAGGTTAATAAAAACAAACAATAGATTATGTTATTATATATATATATGGTATGTCTGTCTGCTTAGCTCAATGGTGAGAGCATCAGATTTGTAATCTAGAAGTTACTCAGGTTTGATCCTTAAGTGAGGCATAATTTCTCCATGACAATTGTTCACGGACATTGATTCTAATGGTCATTTGTCTTTAACTGCTGATTCAAAAATCATTTGGGATAAGTTGTCAGTCATTTGTGGAGATATCTGTAGTTACTGTTAGTTATCTAGGAAAGGTTGGATTGGTTTCTGTGCTAAATTCAGCATAAAAACCAAATCAATAAGTGACTCATTCTTTATATAGTAAACTTCACTTATAGTGACTACTGTTATAGTGAAATTCAAGTTATGAGAAACAAATAATTTTGAAAGAATTTTGCCCTTCTTTATTCATTTTGAAAAATATCTTTTAATATAGTACACATTGTTATACGGAAAAGCAGATAAAAGAAACTTACATTTTAGTCCTACAGAAAGTTGCCTCAGGTAACAATGAAATCTAAAACATTGTCACTCTGCTAACAGTGGTAAACATAACTTTATTGGTTGCTTATCAATAGCCCATCGGTGATATTGGGGACCGTTGCTTTTTGTAAACTATTTTCACTGCCTGTTTCTGGTTAATGTTTTGCATATTAAAACTACTGAAGGTATTTTCTTGAAACTTAATAAATCTGTTTAGATTTGGACGTCACTATCCAAGGCCCATAACCCAAGCCTGGATTTTGACTGAATTATAGCCCCTTGAACTTGGAAAATTCTTTAGTAAATTTCCTGCTTGCATCATCGATCTTGAAAACTACTGAAGGTATTTGCTTGAAATTAAATACATGTAGATATGTTTGGGATCATAACAAGAGTTCCATAATTCTTACGCAGATTTGGACTGAATTATAACCCTTTTTGAACTGAGAAAATTCTTTGTTAAACTGTTGCATGCACAATGAATATTCAAAACAACTGAAGGTATTCACTTAAAACTTAATACTTATCCACTGTATCTGAGTTGCAGGTCACTATCCAAGGCCCATATCGCTGACATGATTGTTGACTAAATTTTAGCCCTTTTTAAACATAGAAAATTCTTGGTTAAAGTTTTTTCATGCAAAATCAATCTTCATAACTATTAAAGATATTCCCATGAAACTTAATACATGTCTTTGGGATCACACTAAGAGGTCACTATCCAAGGTCCATAACTCTGACATGGATTATGCCTGAATTCATGCTCTTTGTAAATTTAGAAAATTTTCAGTTCAAGTTTTGCTTTCAGCATAAATCTTTAAAAAAACTACATATCATAGTATTCACTTGAAACTTGATTCATGCTTTTTGAATTACATTTCAAGGTCACTTTCCGAGACCAGTCACCTCTGGCATGAATTTTGAATAAAATAAGCGATTATAAGGTCCTTTGAGAACTTATCAAAATTTTTTGGTCAGTACTCAAAATGTTGTGCACATTAATTGTATTTTTGTGAATGAAATCTTCCTCTTTGTTAATAAACCAGGATCTTGTTGGAAATAGTTGAGTGCTGTCATAGTGTCAGCTCCTGTTCATGCTTAGTTTTTATCTGAAGCATAATTTCAGTATTATAATAGAGGTAGTTGGATTTCATTCAGAGGTGCAGTGCTGAAGAACCGAAAATGTCTTGCCTATTATTTAATTTTTGTGTTCTTTGACACACAGGGTTTTTAGCTCGACTTTTCTATGAAAAGGGGAGCTATCCTACTCGCCCCGGCGTCGGCGTCGGCGTTAGCGTTGGCGACACACCTTGGTTAAGTTTTTCGTACCACCCCACTTTATTTCAGAAGTATTACAAGTATGGCTTTGAAACTTACCATACTTGTTCACCATCATAACCTCCATCTACAGACAAGAGTACATAACTCTGTCAAGGTTTTTGACAGAATTATGGCCCTTTTTTGACTTAGAAAGTGTATTGAGCTTGGTTAAGTTTTTTGTACCACCTCACTTTATTTCAAAACCATTGGAGGTATTGCTTTGAAACTGACCATACTTTGTTTACCATCACGACCTTCATCAACAGACAAGAGGACATAACTCTGTCAAGGTTTTTGACAGAATTATGCCCCTTTTTGACTTAGAAAATACATTGAATATGGGTAAAATCCACTTATTGACTTAACCCTTTGAGATATTGCTTTGAAACTTTTAATGCTATTTCACATCATTACCCCCATCTGTACGCAAGAGAAGGTAACTCTGTCAAGGATTTGTTTTAAAAATTAAGGCCTTTTATCGACTTAGAATCTTGGTTAAGTTTTTAGTACCAGTCCACTTTTTGACTGAACTGTTTGAGATATTAATTTGAAAGTTGGAATACTTGTTTACCATCATGGTCCCAAAACATGGGCAGGAGAAGGTAATTCTGTTAAGGATTTTATTTGAATTATGGCCCTTTTTGACTTAGAAACTCAGTTAAGATTTTCATTCTTGTCCACTTGTTGACTTAACCATTTGAGATATTACTTTGGAAGTTGGAGTTCTTATGTGCCATCATGAGACCTATCTGTAAGCAAGAGAAGATAACTCTGTGAAAATGTTTCTTGATTTGTACTTAGAAATTCCTAGTTAAAGTCTTGTGTGCCCTTAACTGTCAAAGTTTTGTTTTATAGGCAAGCACTAAAAAAGTCGAGCGCGCTGTCCTTCTGACAGCTCTTGTTATTTAATCTGTTGGGTATTTTTTAATGACATTTTTGTATTTTAATAGATATAATTTTGATCCCTTTTATATGTCTTAACAGATGGTGCTAATGGTTTAATTTGTTGGTTATTTATTTTTAAAATTATGTTTTGGTTATTTTGGATCCCTCACCTATTTGGAGTTTAATGAGAATTGGGGTTTTTTTTGGTTAAAAGTTAATGATTATTAAGAAGTAATTTATCTATGTTAAGCACAATGAATTGCACATATTTGTAAGCTTTCGTGATAGTTTAATGCTTTTTGTCTACTATTTAAAGGTCGCATTGTGCTCAAAAATTCTGTGCTTTAATGGTCAGTGACTGTCCATCTCATACAGTTCATAATTGTTTCAAATGACATCTATGCTGAAAAAAATACAGATAAAAAGAATCCATTGATTTTTTAGCTCGACTTTTCTATGAAAAGGGGAGCTATCCTACTCGCCCCGGCGTCGGCGTCGGCGTTGGCGTCACACCTTGGTTAAGTTTTTCGTACCACCCCACTTTATTTCAGAAGTATTACAAGTATGGCTTTGAAACTTACCATACTTGTTCACCATCATAACCTCCATCTACAGACAAGAGTACATAACTCTGTCAAGGTTTTTGACAGAATTATGGCCCTTTTTTGACTTAGAAAGTGTATTGAGCTTGGTTAAGTTTTTTGTACCACCTCACTTTATTTCAAAACCATTGGAGGTATTGCTTTGAAACTGACCATACTTGTTTACCATCACGACCTTCATCAACAGACAAGAGGACATAACTCTGTCAAGGTTTTTGACAGAATTATGCCCCTTTTTGACTTAGAAAATACATTGAATATGGGTAAAATCCACTTATTGCCTTAACCCTTTGAGATATTGCTTTGAAACTTTTAATGCTATTTCACATCATTACCCCCATCTGTACGCAAGAGAAGGTAACTCTGTCAAGGATTTGTTTTAAAAATTAAGGCCTTTTATCGACTTAGAATTAAATTTATTTAAGGCTCAACTCAGTTTTTTTTTCTTTCTTACCAGCCCTCTTTTGACTTAAACATTTCAAACTTTGCTGCAGTGTTCAAGGGTATCACACAATTCAGTAAAATAATTCTTCACTAAATATCTTAATGCTCATGGCCATTGTTCACTTTAAAAATACAGAGATTCTTGTATTGCCTTTTACTGCAAAAACTTTTTTTATTGGCAAGCAATAAAAAAGTCGAGCGCGCTGTCTTACGGACAGCTCTTGTAATAAATTTTTATCACATGGATGATGCTTTTTTACATGTAATATAACCAATTTGTATATAACTTATATTATACATAAAAGGGCACATGTCCAACTAAGTTTGTGCTCTTTAATTTCAATGCTGTAAATTATCAGTCTCCTAGCATCTCACATTCATTATATTAAATTTTATTGAAATCATCTGTGGTCACTGACTTTACATAGACCTATTTAAGAAAAATAGTCTTCTATAGAACTAAATAGCTATAATATTTGGCATATAGCATTGACTTAGTTGGACCTCTACAAATATTTTACGAATCATTGAAACTGCACTATTACTTATATAGAATGTGGCCTAATTACTAAAATTCTTTATCCAAAACTTTACTTAATGACAAATTCTTCATTTAAAAGAATTATGACCCTTTCAGGCAGGTGATAGTTATAAGGTTCTGCTCTTGTTTCAATGTTGTCGCTACTCCTAAAATCCAAAGTTGATATGTGGGTTGTATATTATGTAGTTTATTTCAGTGTACTGATGTGCTTGCCAATGTACAGTCAAACCTTACAAAGAGCATCACTGGGGGTTGTATATTATGTAAATGAGTTTATTTCAGTGTACCGATGTGCTTGCCAATGTACAGTCAAACCTTACAAAGAGCATCACTGGGGGTTGTATATTATGTAAATGAGTTTATTTCAGTGTACTGATGTGCTTGCCAATGTACAGTCAAACCTTACAAAGAGCATCACTGGGGGTTGTATATTATGTAAATGAGTTTATTTCAGTGTACCGATGTGCTTGCCAATGTACAGTCAAACCTTACAAAGAGCATCACTGGGAAGAAGAAGATTAATAAAATATTTGATAGATGTAAGTTTTTATATTGTACAGACTTGTCACTTTAATATTATCTCATTTTAACATGATGTATTTACATATTTACATGACTAGCTAGCAAAATAAGAGAATGAAAGCAGAAAATCGGGGTTTGTTATAGTATCAAACTACTATGCCTAGAATTGAGATATGTGCCATATAACATGGTTAAGTTGATATCTACAAAAACTTTCTTCTGAAATTACACTGTCAAGAGGTAAGGTATTTTGTTTGAAGCATCACAGGGCTTGCGGTGCTAAACAAAAAAGTTCTTTAAATCATGCCCCTTGGGTCAAAACTGGCCCACCCTGGGGGTCAATTAGTTTATATAGACTTACATAAACAATAAAGTCTACTTGTGTGAGATTGCAAGAACAACTTAGATACTTGTCATGAAGCATTTTATAGCAGATATCTACAAATATTTTGAAGATTATTCAGCCTAGAGTCTTAGAGAAAAAAATGACAAACTAAATGTGACTTTAAAACTTGCTTTACATTTTTCCAATATGTTAGGTGAGCAATCCAAGGTCATCATGACCCTCTTGTTTTGTTGATGTTAAACATTTTTTGGCATTTTTGTATTAAAATTTCAGTATCAGAACTGAGAGAATGTTTGGATCCTGCCAAGGCAGATGAGATGACTTTATCTGAGGCTGCTAAAACGGAGATAATACTCGCTGGTAACTGCACTTATTTATTTTATATTAAAATATGTCCAACACACATATATTTTCAGTATTGTTCTTTGTGTCATTTAATGAAGGTATCCATCAAGTTGGTTCTAGTGTTTAGATATTTGACATGAAACGTAAACTATAAGGCCTTTACCAAGTTTGTTTAAATTTTAGCCATGGGGTCAAAATTGGACCTGCCCTTAGGGTTTTTAGGTTTTCCCTTTTTTGTATATGATAAGGTCTTTAAAAACATAAGTTTGTTAAAACAGAAATTAGCTTTTGGTGACATCTATACAACCATGCTTCAGATTATTTAATGAACCTCTACATGAATGCTCTTTAGGTGGTCCTATACAAATGCTAAAATGATTTCATGCTTACATGTAGTACAACAATAAGACTAAAATCATATCTCCTACCCCTTGAATGATTTTGAAAGAAACTAAATTAATAGAAATGCCCAGGTAATTAAATCTTGTCCATGTGGACTATATTCCTGGTGAGCAATTAAAGGCTATCATGGGCCTCTTGTTGGTTTATACAGAATTCATTTTAATTTGATTGTGTAGGAAGCTATTAGCTTAAGGACACACTTCCTAATCTGTTCCTGGAACCAACTAGTACTGAGCAATGTGTGTAAAGTTTCTTGCTCAAGGAAACAACGACTTGCCCCTGATCGGGTTTGAAATCGTGCACCTAGCAATCATTAGATTACTAGTCCAGCATGTTAACCACTCGGCCATGCCACCACTTGATGTGATTGATGTCTGTCATGCCAGATGCATTGTTATTCACAATTTCTTCAAATGACCACTAATTTACTTGTGAAATTTTGACCAAACTTAATAGGAATTTTATTGTAGATGGCCTTATCCAAACATATTGTAAAGAGTACATTGCATTGATGGGGGTATAAATTGCATTCAGCAGTTAGTCTTTTCATTTCAAGGTTTTTATCACTGGAAATTATATGACCATGACTTGAGTCCTAGTTTCCTCTTTAAAATGTTAATAATTAACTGTAAATTTTGGTTTTTAAAGTTGCTTTTTTTTACATGTAATATTGAGATTAGTAATTATCTATCTACCTACTTTTGACTTCTGTTTTTAAATTTGAACTAATGGTAAACTTAATATAAAAATATCAAAATTTCACTTTCATGACTTTGAATGTTACCCATGTTAACTTACTTGCTTTCTGCATTTTTTGCAATGCAAAATTCATGTTCTCAGGTGAGCCGTCTAGGACCATATTGGCTCTCTTGTAATATTACTTGTTCTGTTACAGAGGAAGATTTTCTTTTACAACAATCAGCAAGACTGGAAACATTGGGACAGCTACAGGATACACTTGACAGTGAACATATTAAAGGTGTTGTAGATCATGATTTATTCCATCTATCATGTCTATAGAGATTAAAGTTTTTGATATACTTGTAGACTTTGTCATCTAGCACTCTTTAGAATAAAGACAGGGAATATATTGATATATTACTTTGTAAAATGTCAGATGGAGCTTTATGTTCGTGGACTTCTTCATTTATGCTCTTGTAATTTACAGTAACTTAATTGTATCTAAATAATTTCCTTCAAAAGTTAAAAACGGGGTATGTCCATAAATTTCATAGACATATAGAATATGAAGAACATAATGCAAAACATACTTGTCACTACTCATATACAAGGTTTATAACTTGTGCATCAATATTTCAAGAATTATCTTTCTTTTATGCACCACAAAGCATTTCGGAGGATGTGTTTTCCCAATGGCTGCCTGTCCATAAGCAAGTTTGTGTTGTCTTTTTTTTGAACACATAGAAAGAGAAACTACTAGACAGATATGTTTATCATAATGATGTGCTGAGGCACAGGTTTAGGCTTCCTTAGATTAAGGTTAAGTCACACGTAGTCATTCAAAACTTTGTTTAAATGATCATACATGTACATTAAGGAGGGAATATTGTGTAATTACTGTTTATTTATGCATGCCCATTTATAATAAATTACATTTTTACTGAAACTGTTAAACATTTTCCACATGAATAGGCAAGTTATAAGGATGTCATAAAGTTAATTATGGCACTTTTGACATAGTGATAGAATTTGATTATCATGCGTGTATAATATACATATATTTCAGCTGTACCTAGCCTGACTGGCAAACTTCAAGATCTGAGTGAGTTAACTATTGAACAACAAGATCAGGCTGGTAAACTGTCCGAGGATATTGAGAATTTGCTATCCACTTACAATGCTATTGTATCCTTTATATTATATTTTATTTTGATGCTTCTAGAAGAATTCTGACATATAATGTTATAATGTTAATGTTATACCCCAGGTTGTCTGTCTATAAATAATTAAGTGTCAGCTCTCATGTCAACTCTCTCTTCAACTGATGGAAGGAAACAGATTCTACATGACTATTGACAATAATGAGATGATGACTTTGTGCAGCAGGGGTGTAAGATGAGATGATGTGCAGTAGGGGTGCAAGGGTATGGTGAAACCTGTATTGCCATTATTGCAATACAGGCAACCTATATTCCCGGTATGGGACCGTAGACCAATGTTATCTTACTTTGAGTCAAAATAAAAGTGGAAAAATTTACCTCGGGGAAAGAAAAATTCTAATTTTCAGGTCTTATGACACTAATTTGGCCTGGGTTTGATTTTATTTTTCCCTTGAGACATGCCAGATATGAAATAAATACAAAATATCAATAAAAATCAAGATACAAATGCAAAATTTCAGATCATCACATTTGCTCACTCCATTTTTCCAAAATAAATATTCTTATTCTGAAAAATAAATTCAAACTGGGCTAAGAATATGGTGATATATTTATGTTTTAGTATATCTTTATGTTTTAAATGTCCCAGCTGATCTATGTAAATAAATCTACTTTTAATGTTTCTAGGCTTTTGTATCTCAGTGAAATTATTTTAAATGACTGACCATCAAGGCCAACTATGAAATTTTAATTTTTTTTTGTACAAGAAAATGATGATTTCTTTGAGAATTCTGTACAACAATATTCTCTGTCAATTGGTTTTGATTCAGAAATAGCCATATTGGGAGCATGGACCCTGCTAGGGGTTGGCTTTGGGTTCAGTTTAAGTAACGTGACTATTTTGAGCAATATTGTACAAGAGGTTGGTTTGTTTATAATGAAACTCGGAGAGAATATATCTTGCAACATGGAAATGATGCTTATGTTTGCTTGTTTTGACTTATGTTACTTAAAAGTAATTTTTCATGTCAATATTACCATTATATAAGTATTTTCTTTTAATACAGTTATATATATGCTTGATTTCCTTGACTTGCCCTTTCAGATTACAGTACTATCCAAGCAGTTTGTTAAATGGGATGAGACAGTTACAAAAATTGAACAAGCAAGAAATTCACAGAAAGTTCTGAATTGATCAGACTGATGAAACTATTTATTTTGTCTTAAAAAATATGGTTTAATTGTATTTAGTGACTTCTTTTTATTCGCCCGAAAAGAAATTGCGATGCATATTGTCACGCACCTGGTCATCCATCTATCTGTACGTCCAAGCTTACATTTGGATACTTACTCTATAAAAGTTATGTGAATCATGCCTCTACAATAAAAAATGCCCACAACCTTGAGGTTATTCAGTATCATAAGGATAATTAATTGAGATAAAACATTTTTCAGACAAGTTTGTTAATTGAGAGTCTTCCCTACTTGAAAGATTCTTTTGTTACTCAAACAAGTTTTGATTGGGGCGTATTTAGCCTTTGTGGTGCTCTTATTTGGGATATTTTGGATTAAATTTGATTTATGATATTTTTCAAAAGTTAATAATTTTCATTGCCTTATAAATGTAAATAATTTAAAATTTATATTGTGGCTCTGCTCTAATGCTTGGGACCATTCTTTTTAGCTCACCTGAGCATGCTCAGGGTGAGCTTTTAGGATCGATGATTGTCCGACGTCCGTCCGTCCGTTCACATTTTGTTGTTAACACTCTAGCGGTCGCATTTTTGCCTCAATCATCATCAAACTTGGTCAGGATGCTTATCTAGTTGATAGCTCGGATGAGTTCGAACATGGGTTCATCTCGGATATGAAAAACTAGGTCACAAGAGCTAAAAATAGAAAAAAAACCTTGTTAACACTCTAGAGGTCACATTTTTTTGCCTCAATCATCATTAAAACTTGGTCAGGATGTTTGTCTAGGTGATAGCTCGGATGAGTTCGAACATGGGTCATCTCGGATGAAAAAAGTAGGTCACCGGAGCTAAAAATAGAAAAACCTTGTTAAACACTCTAGCAGTCACATTTTTGCCTCAATCATCATCAAACTTGGTCAGGATGCTTGTCTAGGTGATAGCTCGGATGAGTTCGAACATGGGTCATCTCGGATGAAAAAGTAGGTCACCGGAGCTAAAAATAGAAAAACCTTGTTAACACTCTAGCGGTGACATTTTTGCCTCAATCATCATCAAACTTTGTCAGGAAGCTTGTCTAACTGATAGCTCGGATGAGTTCGAATATGGGTCATCTCGGATGAAAAACTAGGTCACTGGAGCTAAAAATAGAAAAACCTTGTTAACACTCCAGCGGTTACAATTTTGCCTCAATCATCATCAAACTTTGTCAGGATGTTTTTCTAGGTGATAGCTCGGATGAGTTCGAACATGGCTTATCTCGGATGAAAAACTAGGTCACAAGAGCTAAAAATAGAAAAGCCTTGTTAACACTCTAGCGGTCACATTTTTGCATCAAGCATCATTAAACTTGGTCAGGATGTTTGTCTAGGTGATAGCTTGGATGAGTTCGAACATGGGTCATCTCAGATGAAAAAGTAGGTCACCGGAGCTAAAAATAGAAAAACCTTGTTAACACTCTAGCGGTCACATTTTTGCATCAATCATCATCAAACTTTGTCAGGAAGCTTGTCTAAGTGATAGCTCGGATGAGTTCGAACATGGGTCATCTCGGATGAAAAAGTTGGTCACTGGAGCTAAAAGTAGAAAAACCTTGTTAACACTCTAGCGGTCACATTTTTGCCTCAATCATCATCAAACTTTGGTCAGGATGCTTATCTAGTGATAGCTTGGATGAGTTCGAACATAGGTAATCCTGGATGAAAAAACTAGGTCACCTGAGCTAAAAATAGAAAAATCTTGTTTACACTCTAGAGGTCACAATTTTGCCTCAATCATCATCAAACTTGGTCAGGATGTTTTTCTAGGTGATAGCTTGGATGAGTTCGAACATTGGTCATCTCGGATGAAAAACTAGGTCACAGGAGCTAAAAAATAGAAAAATCTTGTTAACACTCTAGTGGCTACTGTTTTGATCCAAATATCCTGTAAATTGGTCTGAAAGTTGTTTTTGATGATTTCTAAGTCAAGTTCGAACATGGGTCATCTTGGATGAAAAAACTAGGTCACACCGCCAAATATGGAAAAACATTGTTAACATTCTAGTGGTCACATTTTCTACTCAATTATCATCAAACTTGGTCAGGATGCTTGTCTAGGTAATTGCTCGGATGAGTTTGAAATCGCATGTGAAACTAGGTCACCGGAGCTAAAAAATAGAAAAATCTTGTTAACACTCTAGTTGCTACTGTTTTGATCCAAGTATCCTGGAAATTGGTCTGAAAGTTTGTTTTGATGATTTCTAGGTCAAGTTTTAATATGGTTCACCTGGGTAATAAACTAGGTCACACTGCTCAAATATGGATAATCCTTGTTAACACTGTAGTGGTCACATTTTTGACTCACCTGTCATGAGACTTGGTCAGAATGCTTGTCTAGGTAATTGTTTGGATGAGTTTGATGGGTCAGGTGAGCGATCTAGGGCCATCATGGCCCTCTTTTTTAAAGATACATGTACATACATTTTGTGTACCAATCTTTTACAAGTTTGTTTGACTTTCCAGGTGGAAAGTTTCCACCAAAAATTGATGACAACAAATGATTATTATTTAAGTGTCTATTACTCCTGCTTTTTCTTCATATACATAAACAGTTGTGGCAGCAAAGTTATGTCCCCTCTTTACATGGTTACTGTTTACTTTAATATTTCTGAAACTAGTATAGGCATTAAGTTGAAACTGAAAATATGAATAAAGGGTCACCAATTAGATTAAAAGACCAAGTTTCACAGCCCTTTATAATATTGCTGTTGAAAATTTTTATGCCTTTTTTTACTTTGAAATCTTTTCTAGAATTTACATTTAAAGCCAGAATAGGTATCACTTGCAACTTAAAATACATTATAAATGGTCACAACTCACAAGCAAGATTATAAAGTTTCACAACTCTTTTATTGCTTTTTAGCTCACCTGAGCAATGCTCAGGGTGAGCTATTGTGATCGCCCTGTGTCCGTCGTGCGTCGTCGTGCGTCGTCAACTTTTCACATAAACAACATCTCCTCTGAAACCAATGACTGCACATCAACCAAACTTTACAGAAATGATCCTTGGGTGGTCCCCTTTCAAAGTTGTTCAAATGGTTCCGGTCTGTTGCATATGTAGGTCACAGGGCCAGAAAAGGATTTCAAAAAACACAAAATTAAAAAATCTTCTTGTCTGAAAGTACATGGGCCAGAGCTTTGATTTTTGGTATATGGTATCATCTATGGGTCCTCTACCAAAGTTGTTCAAATTTTGTCCCTAGTGTCAAAATTGGCCCCGCCCCGGGGGGTCATAGGTTTTCCTTATATATGTCTATAGGTAAATCTAAAAAAATCTTCTTCTCTGATTTGGCAAAGGCTACAGATTAGATATTTGGCATGAAACATTGTGTAGTAGACCTCTATCAAGATTGTTCAAATAATGGCCCTAGGGTCAAAATTGGCCCCGCCCCGGGGGGTCATTGATTTTCATTACATACATATAGTGAAAACTTGAAAAATCTTCTGGTCTGAAAGTAAATGGCCTAGAGCTTTGATATTTGGTCTATGGTATCATCTGAAGGTCCAATACCAAAGTTGTACAAATTTTGTCCCTAGTGTCAAAATTGGCCCCGCCCCGGGGGGTCATAGGTTTTTCTAATATGTATATAGTAAAACATAAAAAAATCTTCTTCTCTGAATTGGCAAAGGCTACAGGTAAGATATTTGGCATGAAACATTGTGTGGTAGACCTCTACCAAGATTGTTCAAATAATGGCCCTCGGGTCAAAATTGGCCCCGCCCTCGGGGGTCATTGATTTTCATTATATACATATAGTGAAAACTTGAAAAATCTTCTGGTCTGAAAGTAAATGGCCTAGAGCTTTGATATTTGGTCTATGGTATCATCTATAGGTCCAAAACCAAAGTTGTTCAAATTTTGTTCCTAGAATTAAAATCTGCCCCGCCCTGGGGGTCATTGATTTTCCCTATATGTATATAGTAAAAACTTAAAAAAATTTCTTTTAAAGAACCCAAAGAGCTAGAGCTAAGATATTTAGCATGAAACATCTTCTAATGGGTGTCTATCAAGTTTGTTCAAATAAAAGCCCTGGGGTCAAAATTGGCCCCGCCCCAGGGGGTCATTGATTTTCCCTATATGCATATAGTAAAAACTTAAAAAAAATTCTTTTAAAGAATGCAAAGAGCTAGAGCTAAGATATTTAGCATGAAACATGTTCTAATGGATGTCTACCATGTTTGTTCAAATAAGAGCCCTGGGGTCAAAATTGGCCCGTCCGGGGTCAGTCATTAGCTCGACTTTTTTTTTTTAAAATATATGCATATTATATATATACATACATATATATATATATACACATATATTTATATATATATGTGTATATATATATATATACATATGTAATTTATATATATATATATATATATATACAATATACATACATACATACATACATACATACATACATACATACATACATACATACATACATACATACATATATATATATATATATATATATATATACATACATACATACATACACACACACACACTTATATATATATATATATATATATATATATATATATATATATATATATATATATATATATTATATATACATAAAAAATCTTCTTTCAAAAAAACCCAATAAGCTAGACCTTAGATGTTTAGCATGAAATATCTTCTAATGGGTGTCAACCAAGTTTGTTCAAATAAAAGCCCTTGGGTTTAAACTGGCTCGCTCCGGGGGCCTATATACAGGTGAGCGACTTTGGGCCATCATGGCCCTCTTGTTGATATAGTTATGCTAGTTTTTAACTTGGGGAAATTATGAAATGTCCTGATGATATATTTACTTTAATGTTCAGAGGTATTCACTTGAAATGTTAATAAATTGAAAAAAAAAACTGAAAAAAAAACTTGTAGAATGTGTTTTTAAATTATGTGCAATAAACTTAAATCTAAGACTTGCTGTTTATGTGTGTATTATTTTTACCTAACCTACGCTCAAAGTGCATTAACATTCTAGTGGTCAACTTTGAATATGGATCATCTGGGGTAAGAAACTTGGCCACAAAGCCCAATTTTGGGAAATCTTGTTTACCTAATATAATATTTTCAGCCCAAATATTCTTGAATTTGTCACCACAGTTGTTTAAATGATTTCTATGTAAAGTTTGTACATGGGTCATGTGGGGTCAAAAACAAGGTGACACATCTCATATGGAAAACCTATTCTATCTTTGCACTGTTTCAAGAGCAGATATGAAGGTTATAATATCAGTTTAACATTTTGACAAATAAGCGCACAACATATTTCGTGAGTATCGTACTCATAACTGCAATGTCCCTGTAAACAAGAATATATTTTCGTCTTGCACAAAAATGTTTTTAGTATATTTCTTGCTGGGCCCTACAAACTATTTGTTTAAATATATTTATTTATACTCGATTGCGAAACACCTTTTTTCAACTTAAAATAATAACTTTAAAGTCCGCTTC